ATGTAACAAAGCCTTCAAGATACAACTTATTTTAGGAATCAGCAATATGCTTGAGGCAGAAATCTTGATTTGTAAATATTGCATTCTGGCCCAGCAGATTTCCTTCCTGATAGACCATGACCAGTTCATAATTCTAGGGCAAAACCATGAAGATTAATAAAAAACAGAAAGAGGATTTTAATCAACACAGCCAGCTGGTCTGTGGTTTAGATTATGTTGTGGAAGGGAAAGTGTAACATTAAGACTGAATGAAAAATGCAAAGCACTGATTACCCCACAGGATATCTTTACCAGCTAAATTAACACTAAACTTGAATTTGCAAATCCTGTGCTTATACTACTGCATGTAGGCAATTGTGATATATTTAACATCAACTAGAAATTAAAACATCTGCCCTTAAAATAATGAGTTTTGTTTTAAATCCTGTTCATAGATGTCACTTTTCTTTCTATGTGTAACCAAGATGACCTGTTTTAAATCTCACCCTTTAAAAGTATTGTAATGAGTTCCTTTTTTGGAGGGAGTAAAGCAGGACACAGGACGGCTGGAAAACAACTAGTGAGGGAAGAGGAGAGGGATCCTACTCCAACCCAGGAGCAGGAAGATGAAGGCTTTTCCAGTACAGGAGCATGCAGTCAAAGGATGGGAACTGTGGTCTGCACGAGAATAGCTTTGTGCGCCAGGCAGAAGGTGGCTCCTCCAGGAGGTTGGCCTAGAGAGGCAGCAGAGGCTGCAGCCTGGCTCCTGTTCCTGGCCAGCAGATACGGGCTGCTGCCGGCTGCTGCAGGGTGGAGCAGGAAAGGGGGAAACAAGCTGGCTGGACCCAGGCCAAGGAGCAACAAAAGGCTTGTGTGCCATGGCCACATCGCCCTGCCTCGCCAAGCGCCCAGCCTGCAGAGCACCATAGCAACCAGGGTTAAAACTGGGTCATGAAACCTGAAAATGCTCATTCATGTGCCATTTTGACAGAAAGCACGCTATTTGGGAAGCTGGAGGGAGGAGAGGAGGCTATATTTATGAGGATATCAGGGCCCAAAGTGCTGTACATGCATGAATTTTTTTCCTTTTTCCAACCTACTCTGGAACTGGGCAAGGCACACTAGGACCGGCTAAAGTGCTTTAACATGTCTTGAACCTTGCTGCTGCTCTGGCTGTGTTCAGTAAGTCTCCACATCCCGACTCTCTCTGGATAACACAGGGCCAGGCAGGTATCTGAGCCCATCCCCTCCAGGCAGCACCCACAGTCCTGACCATCACTCAGCACTCCCCAAAGCTTAACAGGAGGGGAAGCAAGTCAAGGGACAAAACACATGGAACCAAGGACTGGAACATGCTTATGCCTTGGCCTTTCCTTAGAAAGCACTGTTCTTTCAGCCAAATGATACTGAGAGCACAGGACATAGACAGCAGCCGCCACTCCAGGCATTAATTAAAATTACTCATTCCACAGTGAGCAAATGCATCCATATATTAGAAAAAATTAACAAATACTATGCATGCTTAAGAGCAAGGGAGAGGTGTGGAAATGTGACAGTGAAACCGGTTTCTTCCAATTGTCCAGAAAAAAAATGTGCTTGCTTTTTCTGGAGAAATATTTCGATAACCTAACTTTGAGTTAACATGCCAAGATCAAAGCATTCAAACTGAAAAGCTAAAGTTAAAGCTATATGCTCCCCATTGGGCCTGACTTTTCAAAAGTGCTGAGCACACTGTTTTACTAAAAGAGGTTCTGTTTGATGAGTCCCAAACATACATAATCCTGACACGAGAATCTATGTATTAATACATTTAGCCTTACAACAATGCCCTACTTCCAGTTAGTCTTCCCCTTCAAGAAGGGAAAATACTATAAGCAAAGTTTTATTAGTGAGCAATGAAGGCACGAAGGCTTCATAGTGGCCCCAGGTCTACAGAGGAATGAGACTGAATCCCAACCTCCTTGTGTCAAAAGACGTTATCCAAAGCTCTGGATCAACAATCTGAAACTTCCCCAAAAAGCACCATCTTCCCTAAGAAACCTGAGAACCATCACTGAGGATCATTTTGTCTGGAATTAATCGAATGGTGGCTTTAAAAAGAACATCAGATTTCCAAGCTGATATAATCAACCTCCCTGCTCTGCTTAGTAATAACCTTTAATGTGTTGACCAATTACAATCAAATTCGATAGAGGCTTGGCCATGTCTTGTTTCTACAGGATTCAAGAAAACATGAAGCCAAGAAGAGAAAAAGACCCAAACTGGTGCCCACACAAAGAAACAGACAGGAACAATTTAGTATTTCCAAAGGCAGGTAGGAATTCTTCATGTGACAGAGCAGCCAGCTTTTCCCTCAGCTCAAATCAGAGCCAGTCCTGCCTCTTGCCTCATCCAGCAGGTAGGGAATGTGGGAGGAAGCAAATGTTGTGTGGAAGAGCAATCCATGGAAGCCAGCAGAGCAGCTGGGATTTTCACAGTCACAGACTGCCAGCAATACCCAACACAAATCTGCAGGACATTTTTGCTCTGTAGCACAGTTTACCTGGGACATTAAAGAGAATTATTCCAAGATGAAGTAAGATCATTAAATGACTCCTATAATGAGTTTCCATCAGTTGTGTTCAATGTTTTTAAGTGTACTATAATGTCATATATAAAATCCATGTCTTCATAGAAAGCAACATATCATGCAAAAGTCTTAAAGCACTACAACTAGATTATAAATTATGAGTAATTTTCTGTGTATCTTGAAACTAGTTTCTCTACCTACTGATGCATTTTAAACATACTATAGCACTCAGATCAACAGAAAGAGTAAAACTGATGTAGATCAGGTTTTCATTTTGCAGCTGGATTGACTCAGGTTCTATGCAATGGACTCATGATTTAAGAAGTCAGTGACTCCTGAGTGAGCAACTACTCACACTCTGAGCAGAATTTAACCCACTAACAATTCTTAATGCAAGTATTTTTCTGATCCTAGAAAGCAAGCTATGATCCATCTGATCCCCAGTGAAGATGGTCAGAACACTACTGTTAATATGTCATCCCATTTTAAAAAGTCTTTCAGCTCACTGTCATTCACAGATTTCAGGAGCCTGAAAACTGTTCATCACAGCTTTTCAATGCCAAGTATTTAATTTCTCCTGGTTCCTTCCCAGCTTTTGTCAAGGCTGATTTTTGTCACCTCGGACATGTTAGAACACAGTTTTTGTACAGCAACTTGGCATCTTAAAAATCTGAATAAAATCTTCAAGAGTACCTTAATGAAAAATATAACATGAGTACAGAACTAGCTGAAAATTCTTGAATAAGCAAAGTAATGTGTCATAAAATCACAACAAGCTTTTTCACAAAGAAAATAGTGGCTATAGTGCATCCCACATGCGTCTACAGCAGACTCGGATCACAGAAAGTTTTTTGATAACCGGAGACACTGGGAGCTTATATTCTCCTACTGCAGTGCTCTGTGCCACTGGGAAGAGTATTTCAACCCAGAACAGTGTGATGAAAACCAGGTGGATCTAGAAAGGTGCAATTTTTGTTTAAAAAGTGCATTATTACCCATGACCAGGTGACACTTTTTAGGTATTACCCTGAAGAACAGACCATTAAAAAACCTAAAGGCACAAACTTCTGATGCTTTTGGATGCAGAGTTCCAAGTCCATTTAGTCCCTGCCATATTACAGAACGTGTGGTCTGCACCATAAATATTTCCCAAGGGGCAAAAGAAATTAAAAAGGGACAATACAAACACATGTTTAAGGTCAAAGTAGTGAGTCATTTAAGGCAAAAAAAAACTCCAAACCCACAGACATTGCAGTTAATCCCAACTGAAGCACATACTTCTAAAAAAAAACCCAGTGAGAAGGTCAATCCTTAAAGGAAATCCCAAAACAGTAGCAAAAGAAATGCCAAATGAAGGCATAGAAACAAATTAAACTCTCCCATTGCATCAGCAGGCAATAAATATAGAATTAAGACACATTGGTGTTTAAAAACACCCTGGTCAGCTCTTTTGTAGAGATTAATTTTTCTTCCTAATGTTTCTCTTTCATTGCTAAATAAAAAATTTCATTCAGAGTAAGGTTGTTCAAATGTAACTTTTACATTATAAATCTTTAAAAGCCTACAGCCTCTTCATTAAATTAACTTTCTTTTCTCTACAGAAAATGAATGATTGTTCCAAACATATACAACAACACTATTTATACTGTGTTTGGTTATTACATCTGTTTTCCTTCTGTCTGAGCAAATAATGTGAACTTCCATTCAAATAGCTTTACCTTAAAAAAGCATTTCCTAAATGTAAACAGAAAGATTTCTCCCATGCAAGAGTGTATCCATATGGCTCTTAGAAAGCTGTGCAGGCAAGACAATCTTCTTCCTAAACATTTCTATCCTTTTGTCACACAGCACAAATCACAAACTCCAAGAGAAAATAAATAACCTGCATTTAGGAGTAAATCGTTCATTCTTGCTGCAGAGTTTACGAAAACAAAAGAGAGAGCTGAAAGATACCTCATGCAAACAGCAGCAGCATCCTTAAATCACACAACTGTAACTGTAATGATGATACAGCTTCTGAAATGTATATACACAAACTGTGGAATTGCCCTGTTGTACTCTAACTTATAGCACTTACTTTAGAGGGTATTTGCACAGTACTATGTTTCCCTCCCAAAGTTTGGGTTGGTTTGGGGTTTGTTAGCAGAAAAAAAAAAAAGTAATAAAAGAAAATAAATAGATTTATATGTAAATAAAGGGCAGAAGATATTAACAGAAGGTATATGCTTGTAGGACAGAAGCATGTCCTGACTGCAAGTATCATTTTATCATCTTACCATTTTCTCAGGATTGGAGTGTATCCCAACTCAGCAGAATTCAAACCCATTTATTTTTGTTTGCTGTAAGTACAATATTATATAACTTCACTATGATTAATGGAATTATTTTATTCACACATCAGATACTCCGTTGCTTCACATCCTTTTAGAAACAGTTCCCGGAAATGCAGAGCTATGGTTGTTGTCAAACACTTTATTTTTCTCCTTTATTGTTTTAAAAGTGAAACAAACAAGAGAATGCCATACAGCTCAGCAAAAGTTTTAGAAAAATATGCAGGTCCATTCACAAGTCTTCTCATTCCTTGTCTTTTCCCCAAAGAACAGAATGATCAACAACATTTTAGCTACACTGCCGATAAAAATAGAAGTAGTAATCAGTAAAAAATATTCCAGCAAAATAAGGATCTGTCAAGCAACTTGCAAAACCCTGCAGAAGAAAAATAAAGGGGATTCATATAGGATCTTCTCTCAGTTCAAATGCTATTTGTCTTTTGCTATGTTGCCATTTGCAAAGGCTTACCGGTACAGCTACACGGAAATAGTACGCGCTGTCATAGAATTTAGCTACAGGGAGAGTCCAAATATGCTGACGTCCCTAGATGATAAATGAGAGAGAGAGATTAGATAACCTTATTTCACATTAAACTGGAAAGAAGGATAGGCTCTGGAAACATTCCATTGACAAATGCAGTGCAAAGTAATTATGATAACACGACTTGATAGCTATAGTCAGAATATTTAAAGACAGAAAGTGCTGATTTAAAACCCTGCAAATGTGGGCTTGCTCTGATCAGCTCTGTGCAGGAGCTGACAGACATCTGGCTCCTACTGACATGCAGCTGGCTCTGAATAACTGAGCTCCCTCTCTAGTTATCCAAGCTAATCCCACAACAAATAGGGATTGTTCCTGATGTGCCAGGTGGCCCAAGAGCTTCAAGGTGTAATAGCAGCAAATGGCAATTCTGCTGATTTGGTAGTCCTCAGAAGGCAGTGAAAGTTCCTGTATATTTTCTAAAGATATGGGTAACATCTTCACTCAGTATTTCAGAAACAGATGAAGGTAAGATTTCATGCTGGCTTTAACAGTCATGTACAAATAAAATAATACATTCTCTATCTGAAATGTTTATGCTACATTGAATAGCACAAAATTCAGTCCTCACCTCTTTTTAACCTAATGATCCATGGTAACTTTTATTTCATCTTTCACTCCTCTGTTCACTTCCTGACATATTTTCTCTGTTGGAGATATGTTCACATGATACAATAGTTTTTTGATGTGGATTTCAGGTTGATACAGGAAATCTCTTTTACCAGTTTTGGCAGTAAGCTTCAAGAATACTTTTACATTGTGAAACTGTCTGGATCCAACTTAATTTCAATTGTGTTGGAAATACAGCAGACAGGTCAAAATTTGGACAATTTTGGTTTTGAAGGCTTTGCAGCAATTGCAGAGAAGCCTGTAACTTCACAAAGACATCTGAAAAGTTGATCAGAAAGTCAGTTTAAGGCTGGGGGTATCTCAACTGCTCTAATTTGACAAAGTACCAAAAAAAAAAAATTATAATCAATGAAGAACATATAAGGTGTGGTACCATAGACCAGAAATGTAAAGAAGACTGTGAAATTATTTCCAACTTCAGGGAAGTTTCTCCTACAATGTGTTCAGAAATGCTACTATCCTTGCTTCTGCCCTTCCTACAGCTATAGCCAGAATAAGCATTTCCAAGCAACGTGGACATATCCAGGCCTTGAAAGTCTTACATTTCCAGAGAATTTGAAGGGAACTTAAGGCCTTCATCTAGTCATTGGAGATATTCAGAAGTTTTGCAAGATCTGGTCTCTAAGTAGTGTTTTTACTGGGAAAAGCTAACGTTTTAAAAGCTTTTATTCCTGACGCAATCCAGAGAATGACATGAAAAACCTCCTGTTTTTACAATTAAGAATATTCCCTAGAGACACTTATTGGTAAACTCCTGTTCACACAGAAATAAAGGGGAACACTACCGTTGTTTCCAGTGAATTCAAGACTTAAAAACTGGAATTCATTAGCCATAAAACAATAATGGAAACAGTAGAGTAGAGTAGATGAGAGTTTAGAGCCCTGGGTGATAAGTACTCCCATTTCTTAAGTATCCCTGCAGATACAGTGAGTTATAGTGGTGAGTTAGGCTGAAGTAGATTCAAAACTGTCCTTGCAGAGTGTCACTAGATAGATCTTTATAAAAAAACAGGAGAATATTGACTCCTACAAAAAGGCTACATCTCATTATGATCATGTCAAAACTAGCTATGACTGGCAGACTCAAAGTACCATTTGGATTTTTACTACCTTAATCAAGATCAGAATTTGGCAGCCATTCATTTTATACAAATTATCCCCACAAGGCAGAGTATTGCTGCAAAAATCTTACCTGTGTGGTTTCTAGGAACTTCTTCTTACTGGTTTTGCTTGAAGAATAATGGGAGCAATAATTTCCAATAGTGACTTCGCAGAGAAATACAATTAATGGCTCTGTGGTGCTTCAAGAAACAGAGAAAAATAATGATCCTTCCCATAATTGTTCTCAAATTAGAAGAATCATACATATAAATACAATATACATATAGGGGAAGAAATCCAAAGAACTGAATTGTAGAGGAATAAAGCAGAGGAGCTTACTTCACCAGTTGATATGAAAGAGATAAACCTAAGCCACCAACCTCTAATCTGGTTCTAATCCCTCCCACAAATGGAGGATGTTTTGCATTTGTAAACCTGGGTGATCTTCACAGTTGTTAAGACAAATCCAGAAATGTACACTAAACTTCCTCAAACCTTAAGCATATCCATACCAGAAGTTATGGTATATGACTTTTTACTAAATGGACATGGCATGCTTGAGTCACATGGCTTACATCATGCACAGGCATAACATACCTGTGCCAGAGGGTACCCGGGTATCTAAACACAACATCAATTTTATGGACAACAGACCCATAAGGGACCTACATAAATAACTCTTATTTGCCACTGTACTCATGCAAATATGACATTAAAAAGAAGTAAATATATATTAGACATTGTCTGGCAAAGCAGTGGTAAATGGAATTTCATTCAGAATTCTTCAAAAGCAATGACTTCATGGTCAGATCTTCTCCAAGCTATCCCTAGGGGGAGTTTCCAGCACTTCCTAGGTTACCAGATGGCTTTCCTGAGAAGAGTATAGACAAATAAAAATGCCTTGGAGATCTAAAGGAACTCGGATATGGCAATGTCAAGCAGAAAAAATGAAAGCAAATGATGAGGAAAAGTTGACACAAATATTTACAGTTTATACTTTGGGCAACAATGAATCACTCCCCAACTAAGTGGGTTTTCACAACATTAACAAGGTATTATAAGAAACATCCATTTTAAAGCGTATAATTCATGTATGGCAGATTGTCTGTCCTAGTGGGCTCGTTAGTTGTGTGTATTGTTTTCATTCAATTTTATTCAGCAGGCATAGAGGTTTTTCAAATTTTTAAATTATTTACTTATCTTGCAGTATTTAGACATGGCAGTAACACAAATAAGTTTGGTCTTTGTGAAGTGTTTTGGGTTTTTAAATTTTGCGGCTTTGTTTAGTGAAAGCATATAGAAAAGGTATATACTGAAAATCCCTCTCCCCCAAACACCTCAAACCAGTATCCAAAATAAATTCAGTAACTGCTCCAGTAAACTCCAAGCATGACATATTAATCCCTATATGGGAGGGCTGTATTATTAGATTATAATGGCATACACTTCGAAGACAAATTTTCAGCGGCTGTAGAAAACAAGCAGGCACTTCATGGGGTATTTTTATGTTTCCTCTTATCTGGAAAAGGCAGATGTTTACAAAGATAACATCAAAAGACTTGACCTAAAGACAATCCATAACTTCACAGGGCCCTTTCTTTGGAGACACTGAAGTCATGCAGTGTCATCAAGCAGTGTTTGGCAGCTGTTATAGCTGTCGATGGCCTTTCTCAAAGAAGAGCCCAAAAGAAAGGACTTGTTACTTCTGGGAGAATACAGGAGAGCTAGCCTGTTATTTGAGAAGAAAATATCTGCTGACAAGAATAATACTGCTGTTTATTCCTGCTGTAAGTCACAATTTTATGCCTTACCAGAGATTCCTGCTCAAAAGTCCCCTTTACAGGGTTTGGAACAAGTAGTGAAATAGAAAGGTGTTCTCTGGAGTTTATATATGTTTGTAATGTTCCTAGTAATATTTCTCTAGGAAAAAAAAAAATCAAAATAAATCAAATCTTTAGGCCAAAGGCCACAATCCTCCTAATGTATGTGTACCTGTCCACTCAAACGATCATTAGACCTTAACACTACTGGATTTTAATATCTGCATGAATAGGGGAAATTGTGATTGGGCTGAGAGCAGTATTGGGCCTATGCTACTGCAAAGAATCTACATTAGGAACTTTGTTGTGCATAGATTTGACCTATTCCTCTTAATATGAGCAAATTCATGCCACAACAGAAGTCAGATAAGAATTACTATCCAAAATATTAATTACTGTCTTATTATGAGGTATTAGCTTTAGTTGTACTTACTTTATTTCCAGTGATATTTCTACATCCATGGGCATGTATTTGCTAACAGGAATAACATAACTGTAATTTCCAGACCTGGAAAAGGTAGCATTAATGCACATAGGCTTTTGAGATAGACAGTATCTTTGCAAAAATGTAGAAATTGAACTTAAAGAGTTAAAAATGTGAAAAGGTATGCTGGAGGAAACAACCGTGAGAAGGAGCCAGCAACTGTGAGAAAGAGCCAACCAAGCAACCGTGCCATGTTAATGGTATTTTATTTCACCATAATAAAGCAAAATAATTTACCTACCTGCACTGTAGATTTTTACTACAATAGCTGTTGTCAATGCTTTGCTGAGTTTCCAAAATCTGTATGGAACTGATTGTTGTATCAATCCCTAAACATATTAAGAATAATATTTTATCTTTTATTATTTCAGAAATATTAGATAAGAATATAATAAAACTGCAGTCAATACAGGGCCATCTACACTCTCGCTTGCCACTACAGGAGTTGCTGCAGGTCTAAATTAGAGCTTGGTAAAAAGCCTCGCCTCTGGTTGATTACCTTCATTCTGCCATCGGAATGATGGCATCTTACTTCAGGTAAGATCTTGAAGGAGATCTTACCTCAAGGTAAGATCCTTGGTCAGTTTACAAGGACAGGTATGCTGGGCACCTAATATTGTAACATTTTCTTTTGGGCAGGCATTGAAGGCTATTTTGATGTCAGTCCAAGTAGAATACAAATGTGACAATGTTCATTTTAATGTACTAGAAGCCATGCTCATGCAAGTAACCATTAACTTGAAAAACATTACCTTTGCTCAGAGAAATAATTTGGAACGCGACAAAAGTTGTTCCTAGTCCTATGTGCAGGAGAGCTACCTAACTCTTTATGAATATTATAATTTCTCCATAAAATGTTGCCTTGAACTTTCAAGAACTTAAAGAGTTTTGCAGCATCCTACATATGCAGTGAAGGGTATAGTCACGATGGTGTGGCTCTCCTCTGAGGCAGATTAGCCCTGTGGAGAGTTGAGCAGCAAGAACCAGTGTGCTAACACAGCAGCACAGCTTCTGCTTTCACAGCTGGCCTAGGAATCACTGCACTGAACTGCATCCTGAAAAGCTTATTCCTTCTGGATACATCTACAACATTCGATCAGTGCAGGTCCATAGTTAAGACCTGCAGCATCTCATACCCGTAAACCAGCCAAGTTCAGTCTGAACTGTGGAGAGCCCTCAAGTGGATGGAGTTGAACAGGTTTAATCCCCTTTCATGGACCTAGGCCCATATTGCCAGTGATTTGGGGAAGGCACTGGGGAAGGCCCAGATGTGGAGGGAGTGTATGGGGCATCAGCAGAGGGCCAGATTCCAGCCGTTGACTACAGCATCAAACATATTTTAAGTCTTGCAGTTTGGTGCAGAAAGCACAAAGAGGACCTGGTTCAGCAGGCCCAAGCCTGCTCTTCACATCTCACTTTGAACACTGCTTTTGTGTTTCCGTTCCTCTGTTCTACAGCAACAGTTCCCTGCTTTGCAGAGAAACTTGATGATTATAAGTTGACCTGTGCTCTGATTATAAAACATCTGTGTGATAGTATATACTTAACTTTCAGCATGCAAATATCCACAAGTATGCTTAATTGACAGAAAGCAATTGAGCACATAAATCTCAAAGAACTAGCACAGGAGAACATTTCCCCGTGACACAGCATCTTATCACAACACATATCACAGTAAAGCCACAAAGGACCTTTTCTGAGATACGTAGACATGTAAAAATATCAAAAGAGGAATTATTTTTCCCATATTACCTGATTTTAGTGCATACCAATGTATAGACTCTTTTACCATCCAAATACTGCCTGATCATTATTCAAATACTCCAAAACCCCAAACCTTAAAACAGAGCATCCACATAAACAGAAAAGACAAGGCATACTCCTGCTTATACTGAATAAATGCCAGAGCATGCTGTTCTAACATATGTAATCAGCAGATACTGATCTTCATGGAAATGAATCAATATTCTCAGCCCAGACTGGCTCTGACAGCAGTGCACAGTCACTAAAACAGGAGCCTGACATCAAGCCAGAAGTCCTGTGCCGACAAACTTCATACCAGCTCCACTGAGGTAGGAAGTGTCAGGATCCTAAGGTAAGGATGGCCCCTTTCAAGCAGCTGATGCTTTAATCCATTAGGCCAACTGATACAAACCCCAAACACTGCGTTTATATTCCATCATGTTTTTCCTGCACACAAATACTACACTTATATACTTAAGCATTTTGCTGTATAAGGGTTAGCAGTGTTAAGCACCTTACAAGATTTCAGTCCCTATCAAGCAAAATATCACTTGTCATTTTATTGCATCTGAAGACAAGTCAAGAGTCTCTAGAGAGGGCAGCCAGAATGTCTATAAAAATCTAATAAAGATGTAAGAATAAATTGGAATGACAAGATAATTACAGTGAATCACAGGTCTTCAATAGATTCCTAAGTGCTAATTCTCTGTAATGCTCAGTTATAAATGAAACTTCTCTAATTACAGCAGCAGAATTCCAACCCTAAAGGTAGCTCTTCAGAGTTATACAATTATATATTTCAACAGGTTTTTTATAAAATACGGGACTTACAGTCACTTCCAAGGTCAGGTTTTCCATTATATTTTTTGACTGGCTTTTGCTCAGGCAACACATTACTTCTGTTTCCTGTGAAAGGATGTATGTAGAAACGTGCCAAGTTAGCCTTGCACAGTTGTAACAGCAAAATATAAATACAACACCAGGAGATGTTTTGTTACTTATCTCTTAAAGGTATTCATAACCACAAGAGAAACCTTTAAAATAAAAAGCACCTATATTCAGAAGAAGATACATACAGTCAAAAGAATTTGTAGATAACAAGAAACAAGTTTTTAAAATGCTACAGGATATATAAAACATTTAAAAAAATAGTCTAATAGAATAAATTTCATCTCACACACACAGAATATCACCAATTGTTATAACACAGAGACAAAGTGAAAGTCAACATCCAGTAAGGCACTTCAGCACAAATCTGATCATGAAGCCACATCTTTCTTAGTGAGAGTAAGAAAACATCATTATTAATAATAGGCACCTGAAATGCAAACATAGGCCAGGGGAATAAATTAGCTTTTTGCATGCAAGATGCAAGACATCAATACTGACCCAAGTGAGACACAGCACTTCAGAAACAGAAAGATGAATCACCAAATTAAAGGAACTAATACACAGCTCTAACAAACATGATCACCATGTTCAGTGATGTCACCTCTGTAATTTGGAATATTGAACTAGAGTGGGAAACAAAAGCTCATGATTTTTATTGTTATTATTCTATTAATTTTCTCAGCACTTCTGTAGAAAAGTGAACTTTAAAAGCTCTTTTGAATAATCATCACATAGTACAACCTGAGGAAGGCAAACGGCCCTTCAAGCCCATGGGAAATGGTTTGAAGCTATTCTTGTGCTTTTACACTAACTGACAGCCAATAATCTGTCCAGAGACATATTAGCAAAAAACTGGCATCAAGAAATGTTGATCTTGCCTAAACTAACATGATTCATCAAACACCATTTCATCAGGGGGTGGGGAAGGAAGGAATAATGTATTTGTAGAATATCAAAATGCTCAGTTCCCACATTTTCCAAGGGAAACTTTCTGGTTTCAAAATGGCTGTTTAGAACAGAAGTCACTGTTTCATTATATAAAAATTATCTTACAAAGGAAGAATCAAAATTAATTATTTCACTGAAACAAGATAGCTGGATTGACCTTACTGTTTTCTTATTCAGTCCAGATTTTGGTTTTCATTTCAGCATTGGGAAAGAAGAAAATCCAGATATTTCCATGCTATTAGGTGACTGAGAGCACAGAACAACATTAACAACTGGAATATGAGAGCCCAGAAACAATGCAGCACAAAATTATCTTTGGAATTGCTATAATTTTTGTGCTTTGTTATGAATTTGTGATATTGCTGCTAATTACTCCTTGAATTCATTTTCTATTTACCTGCTTGTTGTACAGTTCTACCAGTTATGCCAACTTAGGTGGTAACTTTTGCATTTAGTAATTATCTGCTGTACCGTTTCTTTGTGCTGTTCCACACACCTAGACAAAAGGCTACTGAACATGTGCAATCAGTTATACATGTACAGTAGGTCTTCAGACAGACCAAAAAGAAAAGCCAATCAGTTCGCTCTTCCTTTTAACTTACAAACTAGTTGTCACATCTTCCTTCCATCACTTTCCTCTGTTTTCTCTTAATAGCCTAGGTGCATTAGCAATGCATTTAACGTTCCCTGACATTTTGCATTTTCATTAACAGAGAACTATTCCGCAGGAAAACCTGTGTCCCCTGGTAAAGGTAAAAGATTGCTCACTGAAAGAAAGATGTTCTCCCTGTAGATAAAAAATACTTCAGCTGCACGTGCTGGCAGGAATATTTATTGAGTATCCTGAATTACTAAACATTTAACACTGTGATTCTTTCACAGATGATGGAGGTAAGTATGAAGCAGAAATGAGAATTTTATATAAAAACCAGGATGAAGACAGATTTACTTCCGTAAGATCTCAACTGTTTAAATTAAGTCAGTAACCAGCATAGAAATTTATTTTTACTTTTTTTTTTACTCATCATAAAATTACCATTTCATTGTCCTTTAAGCTGATGCAGTCCAAACGAAATGTAGAAACCTGGCCCCTCATGCTATTTTTATTTGGAGCTCAAGTTAACAATTGAGAACACCAGGAACCACCAAAAAACACTTTAGCAGTCTTCAATAAATCGTAAACATCCACTCTGTCACATACAGTAACTCTGAGGGCTTTTTCAAGGCCCGTGTGGGGTGTGAAGATCCAATTCAATAACAAATATTGAAGTATTACCACGACCAGAATGTAATGAGGAAAACCATTATCTTCAGATTAGATTCAGATAAACTCATCCAATTTTTTATTTTTTTTTGCTTCAAGCACTTTCTGGTTTTAATTCAAACGAGTTGTTATATGCTATAAGCATTATGGAAAAAAAACCTGCTGGTGATTTCTTGTGGTGGCTGTAGCTTGCTATGAATCCATTAACTGCCATCTAAAAGCAATAAATGCAAATGCTTGAAGTTGACCAAATCCCAGCAGGAGCCCTCACCAAGCTTTTATTGTAAGGGAGAGACACCAGGGAGAAACAACACTGAAAGAAAGTAAGGACAGCCCCTGGTTACCAGAGACACTTAACATGAAGGGGCAAGCAATAAGCACTAATGGCATGGAAGCAGAGTACAGAAAAGGCCCAGATGCTGAAGGGTATTCACGCTGCTCATCTCCACTGAAATCAATAAGAGTTTGAAAGTCTAAATCCTTTGAGAAACCAGATCTTAATAACAAATAAAGTATGAGGGAGAAAGGCCACATTAAGCTAGATTACATAAAGATGTGCTGAATTTTTGTTAATAAATTCTGTCTTGCGTATGAATGCTTTTGTTTCTACTTGAACACTTCTAATAGCCTTCTACTCAACAAATCTGAGATGCAAGGGCTTAGTAGCTACCATGGATGTACTCAGCAATTGCCTACACCCACTGAATTCAGGTATCGCATAGCAGAACATGTCTGTTGAATTTAATTCAACTGTAATTTCAAATAGTTTCATATTTCCACGAATCAGACTAATTGGCTGATTCTAAAATATCCACTGTTTATCTTGATTATTGCCCATATTTCATTCTTAGCTTTTTATTCTGAAGAAATTTTCTTTTTCGTTTATCTTGGCTACAGCAACATTAAGCAGCTTGTTGGTTTTCCTTCTGTTTGGGTTTCATATTGACATTGTTACCTTCCATCTGGGGATGCATTCAGCTTCATTAACCTTGTACAGATCTGAAATCTTTCTGTAGCTTGTGCACTGTGCTGATTTTTCACTCTTGGCTCCACGCTTAATGCTATTTGGAGCATATGACCTTAAGAAGGTAATGCTCTGTGTTTACTCTTTCCACCTAATATCAAAAGCAGCCAGTTGGGGATAGGCACCTTTCAAATTTCATTTTCATCTGTCTACATTTCTCTAATTTGTAAATTAGATTAATATCTTTTTAATTAGTCAACACTCAGACTGTAGAGCAATACAAATCACTTAGGTATAACCTCTTGAAAGCACTGTACCGAGCTGTATCTGCCACAGGGTTTACTGCAGCACTAAGAATCATAAGGACATTTGCATGCAGCTTGTCTGCAGACAACGCTTTGCAGTATAAAGAATGGCCAGTGGGTGAATACCACTGAAACAGTTTATGTGGTTAAGAGTGTCCAGCAATTGGCAATGGCTGCCCTGGCAGACGTTTGTACTGCAGAGGCTGAACTGCATCTGTCCCCAGTTTCACCTCAACTTGTTAGCTGTAGTTGGTGCAAGAATTGTTCCCAAGGCCAAGAAAGGAAGAGTATAAATGCTAGGTTTAGTAATATTAACACTTGCTTCCAGACATTGACAGTGTTAAGGTCTGGGAAAGAGGAATACAGCTTCCAACAACTTGTACATCCCTTTATGCATAAACTCTTTCTTATAAATATTATAGAAGTTCTAAACAGTACACTTACTCATCTATTACACACATAACATCAGGCAAACAGTATCTGAAAGAGAATTAGTTCCAGTAAAAGTAGTTTATTTCATAGGGCTCTGCCTTCAAATAACTTCTGTCTACTCAAAAATCCTGCCTGAATAAGCAGAGTTTTAGTTCTAAGCTTTCTGTTTTCTGCCAGTTGAATTTCTGTTTCTGCCCACAAAAAAAAAAGGTGTATTATTGTCCCACTGTGATACCATTAAGTCTTTAGGGTTTTTTTTTTTTTCATCTGTTACCCTCCACCACCTCCAATCAACTCCTGTCCAACTGCAGCCAGAAGTTAATTAAAGGTATTAGTGACTTTCTGGTTCACATTAAATCATTTATGGTGAATGGCCAGGAAGAACAGTGACATCTGACAAAACATCTTAGGACCCAAAATTCTTGATGCTGACCAGGCCAGATTTTTCAAAAAACATATTGACTGCAGTGCTGTTTAGTTGTATCAGGATTTTTTTTAATCCCCTGGATTAAGCTCTTTTGTAGGACCTAACTACCTTCCTCTACACTCTTCATAGAGTCTTTACTCGCACAGCAAATAACGGAAATTAATGCTTCAACTTACGTTTCATCTGTGCATTGGTTTCCTCATAAGTTGGAGATTGGACTTTTGGTTGATGAATTGGACAACAGTAAACCTTGTCACAAGGCAAAATGTCACAGAAATTCACCTCAGGGATCCTGCTGACAGGTTGAGTGCTCAGAGAAATTGTGCTTTCCCCATTAAATGCTAAAAGAAAGACACAATTCTCACTAGTGCTGTGTGTCTATTGGCATTTTATAGTAGCACAGAAATTGAAAGTCTATTACGCACATGTGCACCAGCAGAAATACCGTACCTGCTGTAGTAGTAGAGCGAGAGAGTAGAACAGAACTTGAGGTACTGCCAATGACAAAAAGCAATTCATTAAGAAATGGGCATCAGAGCTGTGGACCAAAACAGATTGGTCCACAACCTATTACTAATTCTAATTCAGTAACACAAATTTAACTACTTGCCTGTAAACTGGATGGTTTTCGAAACGTCTGTCATGAATGCTAAGTAAATACAGGGTCGAGATTGTCAAAGCACTGTAGAAAGAGAATTACTCTGCAGATTTACATCCATCTCTTATGTAACATAATATGAATAATACTTTGACAGCACCTTGTTGAAATGTAGTAATGTACAAGTCAACTATCTGATCACTTTCCCTGCAGTGGGAAAATTTTCAACTGAATTTAACAGAGTTTAGATCAGATACTTGTATAAATGTATGCATATACTTGTATTCAACACAAAATATGATCAGTTTTTGATTGTAAATAGAATTGCAACACCAGTTCAAAGTACTCAGTTCACAAAGAGATTGTAAGACCCAGAGTTTTGGACTGGAAACAGAAAATGGCAGTCTCAGAAGTCCAGAGCATAATTTCCTTTCCACAAGTCCAATGTCCAAGTTAAGCTTTCATAGTCACAGGACTGCCCACTTGCTGAAACAAGTCCAGCTTCATTTCACAGAATAGAGTCACTGTGTACATCAGAAATTGTACTTCAGAACAGAATGATTTCATAAAACATGTAAAGTCTCATGAGTTCAGCTTTGCATCTGTCACATGAGCCACCAAGATTCATTCAAGGTGCACCATACATTGTGACATGGACAGAGATTAGGTGTGTGTTCACCACATGAGTATCTTACTTTTCTAAAACAATTTCAACTACACAGTATTACCAGGCATAGTCACTGTCAATTTTAATACATTCCATTATTTGAGTAGGAAGGGTGAGAAGAGCTAAAAAATCACAGTCTTCTTTCTGATAAGTAGGAAGGGGAAGGGAGAAGAACCAAATCAACTTTTTAATAATTAATTGTTACCATAGTGCCATAATAGCAATCAAAGCTATTACAGTCACCCGGAAAACCTTCATGGAGCAAGACCCTTTTGTCTTTGACAAGCAAACCTAGAAAAAAAAAAGATGCTTGGTTAATTTAAGTGACAAGTGACTAAGCTGGTACTAGTAGATTAGGGAATACTACACAAGTCTGACTTTAGGTTAACCTTGTTTCTTTCAGAGGAACCATACAAGCCATCCTTATACAAGGGCCACGTCTAAAGAGAAAAGCTTTAGTAATGAAAAGCTCCCTAAAATTGTGAATGCAATGTGCATTGTTGATAGTCTGGGGACACAAGCATTACAAAGGAAGAAAGGATGGGTAAAAATAACAGCTCCTTCTCTTCCTGCCATTTTTCATACTCTTGGAGTATTTAAAAAGGAAATTATGAAATCAGCGGTGGCCAGAACTAAGAGGTGAGCAGCTTTCAGTATATGCTCAGACCAAGTTAAACCAGGGCCAGTGTAAATACAGAAGACACTATCCATACAAGTAGGATGATTTAGATGATGAAACGTTTAATCGTCATTATGGAATAAAGGACACTTGACCTGTTATTTTCCTTTGCTCTTTGACACTGGCGAAAGCAAGGTAGACAAAAGAACATTGATTCATTTAAAAAAACAGGACTTGGCAGCCTAGAGAAGACTGTCTTGGAAAAGGTCAACTCATTCAATCTCTCTGAAAAATGATCTCCTCTTTATATATCAAGATATGGGCAGTCAGCAATAGCAGTGACATCCTATCCAAGTCTTAATCACCTGAAGGACAGCATTAGCCAGTATAAATCAGGAGATACTAACTACAAACCACAGTGAAAGGCTCCTCCAAGGAAGAAAGCTGAGGAAGAATTATCGCTGTGCAGACTTCCAAACTGAAATGAGCATTTCTGTGCAAGGCTGCACTACACCATGTGAACACACCTACACGCTCAACAGCTCTGTCCTGTTGGTCTTCTCCTTCACACCATTACACAGTGTGGATCTAGTCTCACACACTAGTCTCTATACAATGTATAGGCAAGAAACAGAAGTGTCTCATACATATTTTCCATCTCATTACAGTTATTTAAGTTTCTAGCATGACAGTAATTATTTTATTCTATATTTAGAAACACAAAAGCTTTCACCAGTATTTCAGCACTTACAAAACCTTTTTCATAGGCATATTTCGTACATTCAATTTCACTCACCTTGCTGGATTTTAGTGGGACTGATTTTTTTGACGGCAAAAGACTAGTAGCTCGACTATACCTGCTGTAAGAAACAAGACCTTTTTAATATGCAAATGCTTCAGCAACTAATAAATGAAAAGGAGACGTTTTCAATAGGGTGTTAGTCACTTGCTTTTGCAACTTCAACATTTAAGAAGAGAAAGGCAGAAGTGTCGTCAGATTTGTTTTAAAGAACAAAGGCCTCCAGTTAATTCATGCAGGTGAATGTTATTAAATGCTACATTTGGTTTCAAAGAAAATTTGGGGAAATGATTTAGAAATAGGAAGCACTTGTCATTTCCACTGAAGAACTAATGAGGATTTCTCCTTGCAGAAGCAGCTCTGCCGATTTCTCTTTGCAATTTCTACACTCCAGGGCTGTAACTGGACATAATCTACACTTGCTTCACGCAACTGAAGCAATTACAAAACCTACTACAATTTAACAGCTATTCCAAATATTAATTTTGTCAGTGAGTTAAGAAATATGAGAAATTGGCATTTTTTGCACTGCTTCAATGCTGGAAATGAGCTGAGCTCCACTGTCAAGCAGAATCAGTTTTCATTTCCACCACCAAGAGCACTTTACCGATCTCTGTGACAACCATCAGCAAACATCCCAGATAGGTACCTGACTTTGCTCTCTTCACTGAAAGTTGACTTTAAACTGTTCATTCGTTTCAGCCTGGCCAGTTTCCTATTCCACTGCTCCAATTCTTCTATTCTGACTTCAAGATTGTTGGTTAGTTTACAAAGCTGCTTTACAGCACCAACATTTTCCATAAAGATCTGATCCTGAGAAGAAAACAATGACAGTATATTCGTCAGTCATATACAACAAGTAGTAAAAAATATAGAATTCACTTATGTAAGGATACATTGAATATTTAAAATGCAAACACAAGGTACCTCACTGTAAATGGGACATGTTTATGACTATAAAACCTTTTTTGCTAGATTGTAGAAATTATGTTCTCTTCATGGCAAACTGAAAATGAGGACTTGCAGAAGAGCTTGAAGAAGCTTTGTAAACCGAGAATTAGAACTATATTTTATCTGCATACTGTGTTGAATTTTAAACCTTAACACTGTGACAACAGGCATCTACTATGTGATTCGTAGTGCTGCCTTAGTGTCACAATCTAACACCATTGCTCTTCTGTGACCACCTAGAAATCAGCTACAGTTTGGAATCCTGGTCAAATACAGCAAATTTTACATAAGTCTCCTTTTCAACAGCATCTCTAGAAAGTGCTCTCCCCACAACTTTAATCAAGGTTTCTAATTCATGCTTCCCTTATATGGAATATAGCATAGCAAATTTAACCTATGAATTTAAATTGCTTGTAGCCTATCAAAAGAAAACAAGCAAAATGCAATATTTTGAATAGATATTTTCTCCAAGTTCAGTGATGTAAACTTGTGTTTCCTATAGAATAATGAAAGAATGCATTATTATAACTAATACAGAATCATGTTCATGACATCATCCAGACAAGACGCAGTTACCAATCTGTAAAACCTCCCCTTTCCTATTATCAGCTGTAAGCAGAAAAAGGCTAGGAAGTGGTCCTTTGACCTGCAGTGAACTGCACATAACAGAGGGGTCTCTCTGAGCAATGTTCTGGACAACCACTGTCTGCAGTCATACGTAACTGGACTCTGCAACTGACAGTCCCTTGCAGCCCTATTTCTACAGGAAAAGGAGGGGAAGAGAGCACAGGACAACAGACTAAGCTATTGTTTCCAACCTGCGAGCATGGTAATTACTTTGTGCACCATAAACATTTTTCAGTATAAGATTTGGAAGCTATAGTAAGGATTTCAGATGGCTAAAAAAACTACCTTCCCACAGATCACACAGAGCTAGCATTTGTATTTGATATGAAGTGATTACACCAGGGTTAGAGTAAGGAAGTTTTTATTTAACAAATAGAATTCTGTCATTACTTAATTCACTTCTGGAACACTTCATTCATTTCAACACTTAAACACAAAAGAATGTTTTGGAGTCCCACTTGTTGAACCAATGCTATGAAATCACTATTGCAGAGATGTTTTTTTCCTTTTCTCTTTCATTGTATGTTTATTTATTATTGTAATGAGATTTTAATGTAAATACTTTATGCGATTATAAGATTCAGCCATTTACTAACATTTGGTTGTTCATTTTTTTCTCAGGGACTTGTCAAACACGATTTTTATAAATACATGTGGAGGAATACAGCTCTGTATAAATCATAGCGTGTGTTTATAGCTTCATATACAAAAAGAACGGTCTAAATACACGCCTCCAAGTGCTCTCTCAAGACCATACCTTGTCAACCATGAGAAAGTTTTCTATTTTTTCTCCATCATTACAAGCAACATCTCCAACTTCTCTAACAGCTTGAGGTAAAAGCTCCTTCACTTCTTGAGCTATTATTCCTGTTCACAAGATAACATAAAGTCAGGAAACACAGCAGCATACTACTGACCATGGTTGCGTGCTTTGAGTTGACCATCCTGTAAGCCACAGGTAGGGCCAAACATGATCTAGAATTTGTCTATGGTAGGAAAATCCAAGATATCACTTCTTTTTTTCCATTCCACAGAAAACAAAAAGAAACCTTTAGAATTCCTGTTACTCTGCAATAAAAAAAATTGTTTGTGATTAATTAAACTTCTGTGAAAATACACTCCTATCTTTAAAAATTGGTACAGAAGTTCAAAAATTACCAGAATTGCTTATTCTTGGCATTTTTGTATCATTAGAAATACACAGCAAAGTATGCAATTGTAGTATTCTAAGAAATGAGGATGAAATAGAACGGGTGTTAAAAGATACTGTGATACAATGAAAAACAGTGGAAGTTAATGAAAAATGGGAACAGAGCTGACTGAATACCTGTTTCATGGGTGTTTTTTATTCCCATAACAGATGCAAATTCAGGCTTGTAGTCATACTCCACCAACCTCATTTGTGTTATTCTTCTCAGCTGCTCATTTGTGTCAACCTGGTTGGACAAATACCAGGATTCACATGTTGAAACACTAAGAATGTCATGGCATCTAGGACATCACTGAGCTAGAACAAGCCTGACATGGCGACTTGGCCAAGCTTCACATTGAAAAATATGGACAATCTTCCCATTCCCCATTATCAGAGTGCTATTTGTACTGCCAGTAACCCCTCAGTCTGACAACTCCCGCTTACACAGATATCCCAAGTTTCTATGGACAGCCTCTTCCAATGTCCAGAGGCGTTGGCTCTGCAGAGCACAGTGGTACATCTGATTTCTTTAGGCCAGCATTTTAGCACACCCCAGATAAAGAACCTGCTTCACGTGTCAGAACAATGATCCACATGTGTGCTGTGGTGCAAACATAAATGGCCTAAATACTCCACAGCCCTCACCTCCCGGATATTCTGCTTTGCTCGGCTGTCAGATGGATGCATGACTCTGCCCATAACTTTGGCATTTCCACAGACAACCAGTGCTTCATCTGGTGCATCTGTGTTAATTCCTACTCGACCATGATAGACTGTTGTCTCTGGAACATGTCCTCGCTGCCACAGTACATCACTGTCATTCTCAAACTGCCCTGGGTTAGACGCCTGGAAGAAAAAAAGATGTTTAAAGATATAGTATAGTATAGATGTACTATTGCTTATTCAATTCAGGGAAAATTAAATGCTAAGTCTTTAATATTTAAATTGCATTCAAGAGCTTTTTTAACACACCAACAGAAAAAAAAACAGTGGAGTCACTTCTAAGTGTCTCTGCTCACACAACATTGGCCTCACTGCTTTTTCCCTTGAATTCTGCTTTATTATCACTTTATGCTAATCTGTCAATGTCCAAAGCTTACCAAATTTTAACCTTGACATTATGGCACCTAACCATTCTTTATTTACCAGCAAATTTTAGCTGAGGCTGGAAATCAGAAAAGAGCAAACAAGGAAGAGATTAAACACATGTGGTTCACCAAATAATCTGTAATGTTTTAAATTAACTCCAATTTCATGTCAAGGAAACAGAGCTTTTCAAGAACAAAGCAGTGTGTATAATTAGAAAACCCACTTGATTTCAATACTTGATTTTGTTATTAAAAACAAACAAACCTTTGAGTACAGGCTTTAAAATTTTACTCTGGAGAAAAACATGCTCATGATAAAAAGTTCACACTCATTTAAAGAAGCCAGGCTTTCACAAGGCTTTGCCATCTACAAGCCATGGTGCTGTGCACTTACCACTGTTTGTCACAATTAGAGCATGATCTGATATGCCTGATAACCACTACTCAGCTGGTAGTTTCATTATGTTTGAGTGTATAAAGGGCCGGAACATGAGTTGCTTTCTCCCACAGTGTGTTTGCATAGCTTTGCCACTTTAAGTTAAGCAGTGCCTGGCTTACTGTACCCTGCCACTGAAGCCCTGTCAGACATCTGGAAAACTACTTTTGTTTTTTCCCCTTTCCATCTATCCTGTTGATTTTTTCACCACTTCAGATCACACCCTCTTTACCCTTCTGCTTTTCTGCCTTCTTTTTAGTTTGTCTGGAATAGTGGCCAGGTTTGCAAAATCTCATTCCTGGACTCCTACTAAGAAACTGTCTCGCTCACACAGAAGTAGCTCTCTCTTCATTGACATTTCAGAAGAATCTAACATGAAACATGATAGAAAAATCTTGCACAAAAATATATATAAGGTAACAATAATCCCAAGGATGACTCAAATGTAAACTTTTCCAATTTAGTAAAGAGTTGATATTTGTAACACTGTTAGATGTAGAAAGAGAAATTCAGATGAAAGCAGTATTGTGGAAATTATGGACAAAAATGTGGACAAAAAAAAAGAACTAAATATGCAGGAATGATACAAACACAATGACCAGTGTCCTGAAATAAAAGAACCCACCGCAAGAGCCAGGATAAAACTTCTCATCAGGGCAGAAAACTCCTGAACTCCAAACACTGCTTTCAAAGCCTTTTCACAGCTCCACCCAGAAAGGAGCTCTCTGCCATACTGCCATCCAAAACTCAACCCTAGCTGCAGGAAGAAGGTTTATGGCATAAGAGAACACAAAGTTATGGGCTAGACAAAAAAGCAGCCGCAAGTGAAACCAGCTGTAAGCCCTCATCTCCCGTTGGAAACCTCTGTGTAAACCACACATACTGGGGATTTGCACTTTAACTCTCTCCAAACCTTAATGCTAAACCAGGCTGTAATCGCAAGTCTAGGCAGACAAAAAGGACCCAAGCAATGGCCTGCAAAAAAGATGCTAGGACCAAAGCTTTTGACAGCCCTCGCTTTTCCTTAGAAACCCCTTTCCAGCCCCACTTTTAATACAGTAGAGCTCCCAGTCTTACTTGAGTCAGGAAGGACAGGCAGCGGATATGAGGAGAGGATGTCACCCTCTATGTTAATGACCAGCTGGAGTGCACAGAGCACTGCCTGGGAATGAATGAGGAGCCAACTGAGAGCTTAGCTAGAACTAGATGATATTTAAAGTCCCTTCCAACCCAAACCATTCTATGACTCTAAACCAAAATGCTAAGCCTGCTCCTCACCATAAGACAAGGACTAGAAAGACACTGTGCAAATAAGAAGCAGCTCCTTGACTGGCCCACACAAAAAAGTTCACTGGACTGCAGTCTTCCAGAGGCCCTCATCCCTCTCAGCCCCACTACATGGCACCTATGGATTTTTCATCTTTCTATGCCATAAACATAAATAACCATAACCTTATGCTATGCCCAGCTCAAATGTTAACCAGGTATTGGTCACACAAAAAAGGGCCAGTACTGAAAGTTTTTGGCAGCCCTCACCTTCCCCTTGCAACCCCACTCATGTTGGGGCTGACCCTAATCCTCCATAGCTCCTGTTACAACAGAGGTCTGGGTTTTTTCTCTCTTGCAAGTCTAACTGTAACTGTAAACTAAAGCCAAGTACTAAAAGGAAAGCTTTATGGGGATCAGGAGACTGAAAGATAATGGTCATGAGGAAGAGAGACAATGCTTCCTTTTCCTGTTCTGAAACCAAGATTACAACCACCAAATTAAGAGCCAGGACACACTAGCTCTGGGATCACGCTAGAAAGGGGCTGCTTGACCACCTTTCTTTGCATTTCTTTTTCATTCTTATCCTCCTTTTAAAATGAATCATCTACCCAATGAAAGCATTTACCAAATTCCTGGCAAGTGCAGGAAATTGTTCCACCTTGAAGAAAAAACAATCTGGAAAAATCAAGGTATTTTGTACTGGAATTCACAACAGGTTTTCTTTCTAAATTCTCTACTTTTAACAGTTTAAAGTCCTGATAATTAAAAGATAACAACACACTCATACAATATGCGGCTGTAATTTTTTCCTCAATCATTTTGAGTCAGTGGCATATGCCCAAGAATCACACACATGCACACACCCATAGTGTCCTGTGAATATCAAAATAGTAAATACTTTTCACATGAAAGCAATATAAATTTCTACCTACCCTCACAATGATCTTTTCAGATACATTCGCAGACAGAAGATAGAATTGGTCCTGAGAGACAGCATACAGTCCAACTACCAGCATGAAGTATCTATTTTGAAATTGATTTAGTCAAGACAATAATTGAAGTAATGTCTTCTCACAGAAAACAGGAAAATGTTTTAAATGCAACCACTATTACCAATACACAAAAAGATGAAATGTTTTAAAAAATGTATTTATGTTCCAATATGAAAGAAAAAGTATTTTCTTTTCTCTCAAGTAATATGCTCTTTCAATCCCCACTATCACTGCAAATGAACAAAGATTACAATAATTGTGACAAATTTAAGTAAAGAAGACTCAAGAGACAAAGACCCTTCCTTCCTCAGAAGAAAATGCTCATTATTTGGTTTGTTGGCTTCTTGATTTCTTCAGCCATCCTTATGGCAATGATTTCCCAAAATGATCTCTAACCATTAGAATGAGGTTTGTGTTTTTTTTTCTCAAATCAGTCTATGACTCTGAAGAGAGGCCTTTAAGCAGATGCCAAGTGCCACAGAATTAAAATCACAGATTCAGCAGTGCTGAGATTTTTCATAAGCATTAACTCCACTCTAAAGCAGACCCTCTTTGTTTCCACTTCACACACACAGGCCAAATAGCTACAGCAATACCTCTGGTCAGGGTTTGGTTTTCCCTTTTTTCTCATGTTATTTGCTGTTGTTTCACTGAAATGCAACCTTCCCAGTGTTACTTTAGTTATCTGGTCCCCTGGCAGATCAACTCTAAAATAGAAAAGGAAACAAGATCAGAAATAAGCATTTGGAGATCTACCTGGCTCAAGCCAGATTTCCTCGAACTCCTTAGAACAGTTCTGAGAAAAAAACTGACAGATGAAAAAGAAAGAAGAACCCCAGTAAAAATGCTGCAACCATGGTTTATAAAAATGAATTAAAAACACAGATTATGTCAAGAAGATAAACAGGATAAAGCACCAGCAGTGAGAAACTGCTCTTAGTAATAGGAACCTTGTGTTCCTTGGTCTGTTTGTTCACAGCCTTGAGCATAATAAAACCATATGTGTTCCATATGATGAGTATTTGTTGCTTGCCAAGGTTAACATTGTTTATTATTGGATCTGAATTTTCACACTAAAATAAATAAATTTTACTGTTTGTCCTTTTTTACACCTGCCTCTAATTTGTATGTCTGGAATCATAACATACACACCTATGTCTCAAACACATAGTGGCACTGTTCCTGGAAGTAATAAATAATATGAATAAAGAGTTTGAGTGGAGAAAACCATCGTCCACTGAAAAGTCACCCGTGAAACGGCTTACATGCACTCAGAATCTATTTGTCAGCATGCAAAAGGAAGAAAAATGCCTTAATAGAGGTAATTTAGTGAACATTGAGCTCTTCTCCCAAGCTCAAAGTTATTTTTTCCAGATTACGTACTGCAGGCTTTATCCTGTCAAATCTGACACTGTCTCATCTTTTTCTGGTTCAAGGCTTATTTAACTATAAAGAACAGAACACCTCCAACAGAAGACACTCAATGCCTGGAGAGCAAACATTGATTCTGATGGTAACTTAAGAAGCAGAAGAATGGCAGAGCATTCCTAGGAGAAGCTGCATGTATGTTTCTAGCAGAAGCACTCCCTCTTAAAAGCACTGCAACTATGTCTCATGCCCATGTAGAGCAGGAACATTACTGACATTTGTAAGATGGGAAATGCACCTGACATATAACTCTGAACACCATACAACAGTGCTGCTAGCTGAGTATAAATATTTTGGATAGGCACACTTAACACATTTGTAAAGCTGCTGAAAATATTCCTTAATGAAGGGAGACCAAGTATATATTACTACTGTGACTCTATGTGCACACCCAGAATGGAACTGGGGTAAAGATCAGAAAACTGGCTAAAAGCTACTGTAAGTTTCCAAGAAACAAACAACTATTTCACATGTTAGACCAAGCACGTATTGAAATTAAGTGGAATAATTTTCTCAAAATTCTTACTTAACTGGATGGAAAGTTTTTTTGCTTCGATCTGACTGAGACTGTTCAATAGCAATTGTTTGATTTGGAGCTTCCACCTATAAGGCAAAAAGAATTTTCAAAAATAACAAGAATATGAAATTTTCAACTATATAAAATTTTAAAAAGAAATTAATAAGCAAATTGTGTCTGAAACAGTGTAATCTCATTTCTCATGGAACTACACAGAAATTAACATGGGAACTGATCCACTGACACCCAGCAGCAAGTCTGAAGACCCAAATCTTTCTGTGGATGTAATTTGAAAGAAGGAAAAAAAAGGGAAAGAAGGGAAAGGAAAAATGGAAAAGGGAAACTGTAAAGAAAAGAAAGGGAAAAGGGAAGAGGGAAGAGGGAAAAGGGAAAAGAGAAAAGAGGAAAAGGGAAAAAGGAGACAGGGTGAGGGAGAAGGAGAGGAAGAAGAAGAGGGAGAAGAAGGAGAAGGAGAAGAAGGAGAAGGAGAAGGAGAAGGAGAAGGAGAAGGAGAAGGAGAAGGAGAAGGAGAAGGAGAAGGAGAAGGAGAAGGAGAAGGAGAAGGAGAAGGAGAAGGAGAAGGAGAAGGAGAAGGAGAAGGAGAAGGAGAAGGAGAAGGAGAAGGAGAAGGAGAAGGAGAAGGAGAAGGAGAAGGAGGCTTCTGGAATGGTACCAAGAATCATTTTGCTTCAGATGGGAACAGATGCCAGTAATATTCATAAATTTCTTCTGCATTCGGATGCATGAAGCAAAACTGCAGTAACTGCCTTGTAAAACATGGATATTTTTAAATCATTGAATTTTGTAATTTTTAAATCACTAAATTTCACTCACTGAAAAAGTAAATGAAAAACCTGGTAAAACTTCCAGAAATATTAAAATGTCTGACTACTTCTGTATATGCAGTTTGTGGACCCATATTGGCTGGAAGAATTTGATTCTTAAAATGAAAATTGAAAGCATGACAAGCAGAAATGGGGAAAATTTGTTGGTTTTCTACACATGAACTGTTCAGGAAAACCAGATTTTATTATTTTTCTTTGCTTTATGAACTGTTTGGGGTTTTTTAACACATCTTTTTGACTAACAGGTAGACTTGCCACCTGCACACCAGCTGATGCCCCTGAACTGCCCACTGAGGGAATAGAATTTTAACCAAAGAGAGGGAAGTCAGTGAGACCATGGCAAACATGACAACTTTTCATATATATCAGCACAAGCATCCATAAAACCTCACTTTTCTTGCAAAAGACTCCCACACAGAAGTCACTAGCAACTTGAAAGAGTTCTCTTTTGTCAGTTCTTGGTCAAAAATTACTAAGAAAAGAGTTCATTTTAATTATTGACTTCATCCTATGGATAATCACATGCTAATTTCTTCAATGCAATACTCACGGAGAAATACTTGCCTTTATTCCAAAAGCCTTCAAGCAAAACTTTTCTATTGGTTTCCCCCCCAGCTGAGTTTTGACATATTTTGGATGTCCAGCAATTCTAATATGGACTGTGATTTGGAAATGATTCTTCTTCTGGCACACAAAGGCATCGTCTGTTATTGAAAAATTAAATCCTTTATCTGTGACAATGTGATACCCTACAGCAGGTCTACAAAAACAAGAAGAAAGAAAAGCAACTTTAAGGACAGGCATATTTGAGTGACATCTTGAACATAGTATGAAACATAATGTGGTCTGAAAATCCGTCTAATTTTTACTGACAAAATGGGAGCCAAATTACATCTTTGCAATCACCAGATCTATCAGTATTATTTTCTTAGCCTCTAGAGGTGTAAAAATGAAAATGCATACAAAGTGTTCTCTGATTCTAGTCTGACACATAAAAAGTTTGGAAACCAGAGGTGGAGAAGTTTACATAATCCTCATTTACTAATCTGGTATAAAGGAAGCCTGTGCACCTAAAACCACAAGCAAATTTTTTAGTTTATTCAAGCATTCATTACAACAGTGCTATAAACAACAGAGCTGAGCTAGTGCTGCAGACAACAATGTGCTAATGAGCCAGCAAGACTCCCTGTTTTTTCATTCTTGAATTCCCACACCAAATGCTTCTACAGAAGCTACTGGAGTTCAAACAAGGCTTTACTCAAGCTGAAGGAAAAGCTATCAACACTAACCCTCTGGCAAAATTACTATAAAACTCCCCTTTATCCATCCAGCTCAGGAAACCCTATTCTATTTATTCAAAGGTCTAATTTGTTGCCCAAAAAGAAAGTGTATTTTGTCTTTATGATTCACAACAAACAAGGAAAGTTATCAAAAGGTATCTTCCTAAAAGTGCCAGTGAACTCACCACCCCATCAATGTTTCCACTCCTCCAGTTTAAGTGATGGATAATTCTGAAATAATAGGACTACACGGCAAGGTTCTCTTATATGGGCATTGGCTTTTCTTGCTAATGGAAGTGTGATAATGATGATCTCATCTGATGCCACTGAGAACCTCTCATTAATGCAATTACTGAAGATGGTTTTTCAGAACTCATTTGTTTACACATTATTAGTTGGAAAAATCAAAGTGTACAGACTTTACAAGAAATGTACTAACTTTATTATCTTTTTATAAATTATGAACAAAAGGCCCTTTTCAAACCACCACTGGTTATTCTGTAACTGCTTCAAAACTATGAAGTCATATGTTAATTCATTTTAAATTATAATTGTCTAATAGCTCTTAAAACCACCATTATTAAAGAAGAAAAACCTCTTCCTTTTTTTTTCTACAACTGGTAATTCTTTTTATTTATATAGGGAATATGTGTATTTCATAGCAAGGAAAGGAGTAATTTTTCAGATTTAGGTATGAAGCAAGTTTGTTACCTGATAGCCTTAAAACAAAGTCAGAATATTTGCTTCCACGCAGGCAAGCAGATTGAGAGGCAACAAGTACAAATTTCCATTGCTCCAAGTTGAATTGTTAGGAACAACGGCTCCCAAAGAGGAATTTCATGTTTATCATTTTCTGAGTACACCATTTAAGAGCAAATACATTTTGATCTGATCGCACAAAGACTGGTCAGTCTTAGCAAGGTGTACAGTAAAATTTGGAAGACCGTTCAGCGATATCGCTATCACACAAGTGTCTTTAGCAGAAAAACACTTCAGATTCCTCTTTCTATTCAGAATTTAAGTCTTCAGACAAAGAAACAGACTTCAGAGTGTTTCTGAGACAAAATCTTTGGAACAGTGCCTCACCAGTCACAACAGTAATGGGGCAAGGGGCTAAGAAAGTACCAACCAAACACAATGCAGGGCACAATTAATGGTAGAGTAACCTATTCTAATGAACCTGCCTCAGCTAACAGCATTTTGTTGGGAAAATTAAATAATCAAAAGGTTAAAATACTGGATGAATAAAATGGAAAACTTCAGAAATGCCTTTAAAGTGCACACAGCAATTTCCAGGTGAAGGACCAACCCATCCACACTGAGCAGTGATAAACATGTGACTCTTTTGAGGCTAATAGAGCACAGGATCACTACTCAGAAAATCTGTGCACTGTACCATAGTTGCAGTGCATCTTGGAACAAAGACACTGCTATTGACATAGCTTAAAAGTAACCCTGGCTTCCTCTGCAAATAGTATCTCAATCCCCTTTCACAGCAATGGCAGCATTTATTTGGATGCTTTAATGCTCAGCATCATATACTTTTTGTTGACACAAGCCATCAAGATATGTGAGTCTGGAATTTCAATTTTAAGCATACAGGAACCAACGTCAGCTCAAAGCTCTCATGTACTTGTTCACTGAAAACATAACAGGAGCTGGAATCCACTTCCATTTAGAGTGACGATTCACATCACAAACACAGCTGAAGGTTTCTTGGCCCAACCAGCTCCCAACAAGTAGAAAGGTGCAGGTACTGAACTGTCCACTCTCTTGTCATGTCAGTACCCTGGGAGAAGGGTTGTATGGGACACAGCAAGATGAATGTTGCCCTTATCATGCTGTTCACAAACAGAGAACATCAGTGTTCAGCAATGACACTGATACACTCCAGACTCTAGCAGTTTGAGCTAGAGGAGCACGAAAATTTACTGTGCTATTTAAGTTCCACGGAGACAGTGATGAATTATTTGTACCAGTCCTGGGGAAATGATCAAACACTGATGAAGGGTTTTGTTAAAAGGGATCATTCACTAAATACTATAATGGAGAAAACCAAGCATGTAAAGTGAACCTGGAATGACCCTTTCCCAGATCATGTGGCTAAATTCAACTATTTATAGTTCTGATTTATACAGGAAAGCTCTACATCTTTGACTACATATCATCCATATATGTCTATATTTGTAGGATTTAGGTTATATGAGCCTAAAGTAATACAGGTATCTTCGATTTCCATTTTTCTTTAGTATTTAGGTGACTAGAAGAAAAGCTGCTATTGCTCAGTAATTACTTGCCCCAGTATATATGTTCTGCAAAATAAACAAAAATTAACAGGTATTTAAAGTTAAACTCATTTTCCATTTGCCCCCAGATCCCTGAAGGAAAATCAGAAAACCTGACAGGAATTCCAACCAGTGTTTAAAGTTCTGATTATCTGACACATCCTCAAGCTCGTATTTCATCATGCCTGTTATTCCTCCTTCTCCAGTCTTATTTGCAGTAAAAACAAGGGATACCCAACATATAATTTGTTCCTACAGAACTACAATACCAGAAACCAAAACAAAGCAAAACCACAGAGGAAGCCACTTTCTCCAAGTGCAGATGTCAGTGCTTACAGTTTTTCATAATTAGAGTTCAGTAAGCTGTTCCACTGAGAAGTTTGATATGGTTGCCATGTTAGAGCTTGACAGCATTTTTCCAGAGCTGCATTCTGTCCATCACTGTCATATTCTTGCACTTCAGCAGCACAGTCCTTAACGGTTGCTGCAGGGAGATAGTGACAATTCAGTTATTACATTTATGACTAGCCAAAAATCCTGCATAAACATTTTTACAAATATATTCACATATACATAAAGCATAAATATATTGCATATATATTTATATCTGATTGCCCTTTGCAGTTATTCCAAAAGGTTGTGTTATATTCCCATGCCCTAGAAAATAAAATTTACAGCTTTTACTGATTTACAAAATATTACACATGTAGCGCTTCCTATTTTTATTCTCCCCGAAAGGAGGGATAGTTTCCTTTAGGAGGGAGGAAAAAAGAAAAAGGAAAGCTAAGCATTTTGCTGTAAATCTGCAACACTACAAGAAACAATAAACAAAACAATTACATATGTTTCCTTTAATCTCTACTACAGGTTTAAATTGAATATACTCCAACTCGCTGCAACTGGTACTTTGTCCCAGAGCAGGAGGCACAGCTTTCCAATAGCAAGAGCATTCACCACTACGTTTGATTGAGTGGTTAATGCTTTCCGAGCATTCTGAGATAGACAAGGTCAACCATAATTCTCTCAGATATTATACATTTTATGAAGACAAAGTAAAATGTGGTAAGAGGGAGAGATAAATGGAGTGCAGTAATGACAGGAGAAAATATACCATTGAGCATATAAACTAAGATCTGTTCACAGCCAGTGGCAGCACAGTAAGACAGAGACTAAAGAACCATTTCAGGCCCGAGCTTCATTTGCAATTCCCTGCTTTGGACATAGAGCAGAGAGAAAATATGTTAAAAGAACACCAAAAATCCCACAGAGTAAAGAAATTCACATCTCATTTCTGAATTATCCCCATGCCATTTTTATCAAGGCCTGTGCTCTTTTTCCAATAGCACGTGTGTCAGTGAGGTTTTATTAATAGTGACTCCCAAGGAAAGCATATTTCAAAGCTGTGTCTATAAGTATTAAAACCACCAAGAGAAATTTTAGACACAGACATATCTGTTTGTCTTCTCTTTCCAGCAAGGGTAGATTTAAGAGGACTAGTCACAATCAAGAAACACTGATCAAATAAAAGATACCAAGGAAATGTAACCTACTAAATCCAGTTGTTACTCATTAAAATTGTTCTAAAAGACTGCTTTAATGCTGCAAAATTCTTACTCTGAAGAAATAATCAGCTCTCAGATTTTCTACTAACAGACAAGCATGGAATTCCTCAAATGAACTGTTCATTCGCAGAGAGCCTCACGCTTCACAGAAGCCGATCCATTTCTGTACTTGCCTGATAAGCTTTTTTGTATCAATTGGTATAAGCTTAACAGTTTCATCTTGATAAAACAATGAACTGAATTAATTTGGGGAAGGGGAAGAACACACAGCTTTTACCAAGTTTGTGCATTGATACACTTAGTAGCAAAAAACTGGAGTTGAGGTGATAAAGGGAAACTGCAATCTGTTTACTCATCCACTGCATTAATTCCCTGTTAAGCTGACCCAAGATGATTTCTTTGCCCAGTCAATTTAGTGCCAAGTAAAGTCAGCAGAGTATGGTATCATCTGCATGTGGTAGGCTCACACATGGAGAAAGGCAGAATATTTTGCCCAGAGAGTCCTCAGGAAACATCAGCCTCTAATGGCTCTCTTTGCCCAATATAGAATCACAGAATCATAGAATAGTTAGGGTTGGAAAGGACCTTAAGATCACCTAGTTCCAACCCCGATGCCATGGGCAGGGACACCTCATGCTAAACCATGTTACCCAAGGTTCTGTCCAGCCCAGCCCTGAACACTGCCAGCTGTTCAAGTTATATAAATAGGTCCTGGTTTTCAAAACTCCTAAAAAGGTAGATTCCTCCAAACCTGGCAGTGGAGTACACACTGTTAATGCCACGCTACATTTTCAGAGCTAGCAGGAGCTGTGCTCTTAACATATTTACTTATATATGACATGAGCCATTACGTTTCATCTTCACACAGTTGCTTACCTTGTCTGGAGTCCTGAGCCTGGACTGGAGAATCAGTGGCATCCCCCAGTAACTGTGAGAGCTTCCTTTTTCTGCCTGATGCTGCAGAAACACTTTTTTAAAAGCACACGTTGCATTACTCATTTATGAGTTTAAATACAGATATGACAGAATCATAACAGCAGAATACCCAGGTATCTCATTCTAACTGTACTGTCGTCCAAATTCTCGTTTGTCAGGGGAGGAGACCATTGTTGGCTTTTTAAAACTGAAATATGCAATTTTTTCCTTCCAAAACACAAATTTGGTTTGATTTTTTTTAATTTAATATAAATAGAGAAGCTCATCCTTTTTAAAAACTTAGTGCATGAACAGCAGAGGGTTACTGTTTCCTGATATTTGCATTAAAATCACAGCTTTTCTTGAATAATTGTAGTGCACCAGGTACGAACTCACTTTCCTTCTTATACAGAAAATGCTTGTAGCAGTTAAACTAATCCCTTAATAAAAAGATCTCGAGGGGCAACTGCTGGGTAACAGTCCCCCATTTCTCAGGAAGTGAGATTTTATAAAATGCTCCCATATGCAAAGAGAAAAAAAATATTCCACAGTTTTTATATCATAACATGTAAATTAGGATATCCTGACAGATGGTCACTCCTTCTGGGTGGGAGAATAAAAAGCCAAACTCCAGGTCTTGGTCATACCCAGCAGGTATTCAAATTCAGGTTTCTCCACAAAGAGAAGAAAAGCCTGCCCACCACATTAATTTTGATTGGTTTTCTGGGCTTGTTCCAAAGTTCCACATTTGGTCAAGAAGAGTTTTGTGCCTGAAGTTCAAATAACCAATGCATTCCCTCAAAAAAGAACAGAATTTTGACTAACTGGCATCTTCTACTAGAAAACAAAGACCACAGAGAGCTCCACTGAGAAACCCACGCCCAGCTTCTTTCCCCACATCCCATGTAACATGTAATTGAGCTCTGCACATGACACAGAGCATCTGCAAGCCCAGGACTAACACTGATGAATTCACATTTCTCCCCCCTTAAAGCCCTTGTGAGGGGGAGCCCCCTCTGGCATGCATCAGTTAATTCATTCTTACCAGGTATCATGGTTGGATGCTTGCAGCAGTCAGTGTATTTTAAATAATTAAGCATCCACAACACACTGGTGTGTGAATATGGCAGATGATATGTGAATACCATTTCACTTGCTTACATAGATATGATACCGGGTTTTCTATATCTCTTAGGTCACTTGTCAAAACACAAGATCTTTACGGACAAATCCCTACAACAGGTATTGCAAAATGCCTGAATACTTTAGTACTCCAGTTATGAAACACCTGTTGATCCCTCCTTGGCCTCCTAATGTTTTAAGAATGGAAATCCATTTCTACTTCCAATCTGAACGTCAAGATAAAGAAACCCCAACCAAAAGTGTCTCAAAAATGCCTAAACACTGCCATCCTGTGGAAAACCCTACACCCACAGGGATTTTTACCAGTCTTAAACCATGTGTTCTAACCAGGTCTTTTTTTTGCTGTATCTGCCTCATCCGTTGCATTAAAAGCTTTATCATTTACCCAGAAATCTGAGATGCATTTGGCTGAAAGTATGAATAATTAAAACCCAAACAGCTGGAGGATGTAGCGTGATTCCAAGGAGTCGCAGCATTTCCTGTCTTCAGGCAGTAGCCTTGGGGGATGGTGCAAGGATGCCCACTGACACTGGGGTCAGAGTGAGTCTCCATGAACCTGCAGGGAAGCCTGTTGGGTGTCACAGCAGATGGGCATGGGAGTGGAGGCTGCAGTCCACTGGGCCACATACTGTCGTACCATGGGGCTGCAAGAAGTAAACAGACAAGAAAGTAAGGATGAGGAACAGGAGCTGAAGATCTTCCTATGAGCTTGGGAGAGGCTGAATTTATGTAACCTACTCTGGCACTGTGGTGGAGAACACGGTTCCGATCCAGAGTCCGGTGGAGAGTCTGGCAACTGGCTTTGCCTAGGGATGAAAAAGAGATTTTCATTTCTACTGGCAGAAGACACAGAGGATGACCACAAAGCAGCATGGAAAGCAGCCGGAGGAGAACCACCAGACTACTGACAAGGGTCTTCAGAAAGCATTGCTCACTGTGGTTGCTGTTTTTCTCACAGGAGCAATGTCACTTACACTTCATCAGACTATCTCCCATGGCCCTCCACCTCTCTCCCAGGCAGGGACGCCTCAGCCCTTCCAGCTCCTGCCCAAATTCCCCTCCACAACCCACTGGCTTCACTCCTCCTTCCTTCCCATGAGCAGCTCTTCATTTACCTCCGGGGGCACCAGCAACTGTGAATACACAGAGTTCACAAGGGCTTTAAACCCATTCTCTGCAGGATACAGGCTAAGGACCTACAGCATCTTCATCCACCGCTGGGCTTCTTCAGACTTTACTTTGGCCAAAGCACTCCGTCTCTGTCAGATAGATGGTAGCAGGTCCCGTCTTAGAGGTGCAGCCCAGATGCAGAAGGAAGCAGGGGCTGCTGCACAATCGAGGAGCGCGCCTCCCCGTTTGGAAGCAAGAGCTCTTACAAGCTCCCCAGAAAATACAGCAGCTTAATGAGGGGTTTCTACAGGTGACAAGCAACCTTCCCCCTGTTCAGTCCCGGGCCCTCGTCCTGCCCCGGCGAGATGCCCCGAGGGGACCGAGGGCTGTGAGCAACCCACGCCGGACTCGAGTAAGGACCGAGAGGAAACCGCCATGCAGCGCACTGCCTTCACCGGCGGCAGTGGAAGGGGCCGAGTGTGAGGAGCGGCGGCCGCACGGGAGGAAGGAGCAGTGCTGTGCCTGCAGAGCCTCCAGCAGGCTGCGGGGAGGAATGGTGTTTTCCTGACTGTGTTTTCTCTGTATGCGAGTCAGTGATCAGGAGTTCGTGTTAATGGGTAACAGCCAAAATCTGAGCCTCGGGCTCGCTATCCGTGCGGCACCCCGTGCAGTTACTGTCGTTCGACAGCTTCCACGCCTCCTGCCATGAAAACACCTGCCGAGGGACACCGAGTGCTGTGCCAGATTCAAGCAGAGCTGAGCTGCTTTTCTCTGCGTAAGGTTACACAAGAAGAGGCTCATCTGCCACTTTACATCCTATGAACTGGAGAGCAGGGCCACCTCCACGGCAGCTCGGGGCTGTTGGCAGTGAGAGCTGCGCAGAAGGAACGCTCCGCACTCTGTATGAGGCAATCTCCCCTAACGGCACAGCACCTTCAAACGGCCGGTGGGAGCACTACAGGGAGGAGGTGCCGAGGCAAGGGGTGGGAAGGCAGCTATGCTCTGACAGTCATGATGAGAGCTGGGGACTGGCGGCATGACTGGCTGTGAACCAAGAAATTCTTCGTGATCCACAGCCACGTCCTTGCCAAACCCCATAGCCAAGCAGCAGAGATTTAAATTTTAACACTTATGCTTGGAAAGGTCATTGTGGAAGGCCAAACAACTTAAGCGTGCTCTGTGGTTTTTAGCACTCACACACTGAGTTCTGTTACTCAAACAGGTAGCTCTCTGAAAACACACCCTCTCCTGATTCCTTTCTAAAGAACAAGTACACTGCTCTGTACAAGAACAGGCCAGCCCGTATTTTACTGTGCAGCTTTCTTCTGATTTTCAGGTAGGAACTGAGTGTTTCCTTGTGTGCAGCTGACACCAAGAGATTTGCTCTCAACATGCCTCTAACAGATAGCCCCTTCAGATGCATGAGGGTTTGAAAAAAGGTTCTTGATTATTTAATGTTTGGTACCTAGCTTGATTATATTGTATCATATCTCCCTGTGATGCTTTCACATTTACAGCCTTTCTCCTATTAGACATTGTGTGAAGGATTACTCTCTTACAGTGAGACCTGGAATTACACCACAGTTTGAACTAGGCCAAGCCCTTCATCAAGCTCACCACAACACACAGATGTTCCCACACCACATAGCAAAACCACTGAATTCCTTCTGCACTGAAAATAGGAACATCCTAAGACAATACCAGACCGGTACAGAGAGACAATGCTTCTGTCTCCAGTCAGTTGACAGCACAGGTCTCTCACAACTACTTTAAGCTCTCCAGCCCATGATGATGCTTTCAAAGCAGTTTAGGGAGAGAAAATCCTAATCTCTGCCATTTAAAGAAACTACGGAGGGTTACTCTGTTACAGTAGGAATAGATGGATGTTCAAGAAATGGACTTTTAACCCTTTCAGGTATTCCTATGAATTGTAGGCTCAAACACTACTCTGTAGCACTACCTGAAAAGCAATGGTTTAAGTTTAGTATGTTAGGCTAAAAATGCTGGGGCAGAGAAAGAATGACAGACATGTAGTGGGGCACACCTCCTTTACTAAGGGCGTTTTGGCAGAAGTTAAATAAAATAAAACTGCTTATAGGGGCATCCGTCATATTCAGAAAGCAGATGTGCTCCCACATACACAGCAGATATTTTAAGCATCAAAGGAAAATGTCCATCACCTGATTTTCATTCTAGTGTTTCTACTTCCGGTTTTGTATTGCTGAGTTTGGATGCAATGTGAGAACAGTCTCATTTTTGCTCACAGTCTGTTACTCTTGACACGTCTTTATGTATTTCATAACGGTATCACTACTGGTTTTCTAACAAGTGCCATCCACAACCCTGCATTTTGGATTAGCTTCAGGTACACGATTACTCCTAAAAATAGGTTTAAAAATTCTATGTTAGAATAATCTTTAATTTCCTTCAAAGCAAATTTTATGATGCTTTTAAATGCCTACTGTGTCTACTGCTCTAAACATTGTTTGCAACTTTGAATAAAGTAGGAAGTTAGTAAACATTTTTATTACTATTTATTTATTTATTCATTTTCCCTGTGGGATACTTGATCTGCAGCTACTGATTCCAAATGTGCTTTGTAAAATTTAAAAAGATACATCCATCAAAGTTTAAAACTTCCCTTCTACACGTTCAGTTCACGTTCCTGGTTTCAAACACTGCCTTCGGTACTCAATTTGTGCTTGAGGTTAGAGTAATTTAGTAGAATACAGAGACAGGCACTTTCTAGGAGAAAGATAGTATTCAGAAGTACAGAGGTAGTAGGGATATGTGTCCAGGTTAGAACTTTACTGAAACTGGCATTGTGCTTTTTGAGGTAAAAATATTCTGCAGTTTAAACGAGTCCCCATTACAGACATAGCGTAACAATCAAATACCTCCTTAGAAAAGGCCACGGCCACCCTTTTTCTCCCTTCAACACTCAAGATTAAATATAGCAGTAGGAACAGATGAGGAAATCTGATGAGAAACAGATGAGGTGCTATAGAGAGAGAGAATATGGTGAGAGATATATATATGGAAGCTTTTAATATTTTTCTCCTTTGACACGTTTTGGCAAGTTCCTTTATGAGATTGTATTCTCTCTATGCACAAAGTCTGCAATACAGACAAATGCTTCATAGTTTTACTTTTATAGATCTAATGATTCAGTAAATGTTCTTCTAAATGCCATAATTAATGAAGAGTAACTGTGGCATCAGTTTAAAGCCTCCAAACCCATGGCAGCGGCACAGATTTTCTTGCATGTAAATACTTTGTAGCACTGCAACTGTAATAGCAAACATAGTTAGGCTACATAGTAGCATATATATAGACCTTTTATATATCTGCTGTTTCATGCATAAAAGTGAAAAAACAAGATTTTAAAGCTGTCATACAGGAATTCAGTAATCTGTTTAACCTGAAATAAATTTAGTCACCAAAAATAAAGGTTATGTCTATTTATATACAACAACCTCTCCATTTTCCTTTACTTTTATAGCGTGGGCAGAGGGAGAATCAACTCATTCATGATTTAGAGCATGTAAAAGCCTACTTAGCCCACTATGAGTAAATATGTGTGCTGCTGAGTGTGCCTGGAATCAAAAATCCCCTGTTCCATTATTTTTAAAACATCACCTCTTGCTCTGCTTCTTGGCAAGTGCAAGTGTCACCCTGTTAATATTTTGCATCAAACAAGAGTCATCTGACAGTTGCCTAGGTGAAAGATTTGGGGTTGAAGCCTTTGACAGATCTGTGCTGCATGACTTCCCACCCTTGGCTAAAAGACCCTTTGCATTATGTACCCTTTGTACCTCTTAAAGTCAGCCTCAGAAGAGAGTAACGGGTAGTTTCTCTGTTCTAAATGGAGCATTAGGATGAAAACAGTAGCCTGCTCCCCTCAGACTGCGAGGTTTCTGTCATTCTCTCAATTTATTATACATTAGTCTCACATCACTTATTCTGTACATAAACGCTTAAAGGAATGTTAACATAACAACTTTGCATTTACTGTCGTAATTAGTGTAATGGTTGTGAATTATCTCAGATTTCATTATCATTCATTCTGTTGAACAAGATGACCGTATTTCCATCACTGTCTGTAATTCAGTTTCCCAAGTCTTCTTACACAGCTTCAAGTGACAATATCAAGAGAGCCACAGACCACTTGAAACTCAGATTTCAGGTCTGTTGTGTTCAGATTTTAGGTCTGTTGTGTTCAGATTTTATCATGGCACTAATGAAAACAGTTTAGGAGATGTCACTAAGGAGAAGTAGCTCTTGCTGTAATACTTACGAAGTTCCAAACTCTACGTCACTACCGATGAATTCTTCCAGCATACTTGTATCCACCATGGGATTCTCCAAGGCTCCATGGACATCTTGTCCTAAAATTAAAAGCATCAAAAAGAAATTATGAGAAAGGAATTCAGGGGCATTAAGATGCCCACTCTTCGACACAAATGAAAACCAAATCCATCCCATCTTGTGTACAACACATGGGTTTATTCATTCTAGGAGAAGGGATATTGGGAAATGAAGAGTAAATGAGGGTGTGCAGGGGAAGCTGAAGATGACAGCAGCACCAGGCAAACACCCATTCATGCATGGCTTTAAGGCTTCAGGGAATTCCCGCAGCAAGAGCCTGCCACTGGAAAAGGTGGGTTTGAATCTCACATCATCCCGTTACACTGGGATCAGAGCAGGTGACTGAGGCAAATCCCAGGCATTGTCGCACACTTCCTGCATTAGTACTACGAGTGAGTTGCTGAAATAGTTTAGAAATCCACCATCCTGCTCTTGAAGAAAGCACAAAGCCTTAGAAACATTTGATTGGTGGCTTCCTTTTATTCTCCCAGAAAGAACAGCCCACTGATGTGTTAAAGGTATTAATGAATAGAAAGGTTCCGTACTTTGCCCTTTGTTGCTTGGTAACCCAAGGCTATAAACAGATTTATGATTATAAAGTCTCTGGAATTCATGATAACTTCTGCAGAAAGTCAGCCAGAACTCTCTGAAACACCAAACCAGACAGAACTGCTTTGCAGGCTCCCACCCCTCCCACCAGCCTGCCATAAACAAGGGTGCGAACAGCCAGAAACCAAACCAGATAAGGACCAAGAAGTTCCTGCTCTCCCTGGAAGGCACCAGCACTGCAGGCGGCACTGTCCTGCAGCTGCAAAAGATGAAATGGACTGGCCTGGGCATTCAGAGTGGCAGAGCTGGGCCCAAAGTGTCTGACAACAACAGAGCAGAGCAGGGCAGGAGAACACAAAAGGTTAATCACCATCACCCTGCACAGGAGCTGAAACTGCCCTTGGTGATTTTTCTAGTGTCAGATGTGTGCATGGTAGGAAGTCATACCGTAAAATTTCTTCTGTTCTTCTCCTGATGTCTCTACCTGACATGGCTCCTCCTTGATTCGGTGTAGACATGACTTAACTGCAAGCAGCATCTAAAGATCTACTTCCACCACCTTGCACAGGAATTTCCTTGTGTGCCAATACATAAATTCATGCTGCTAATAGACATCTCCTGAATTGCTGTGTGATCACAGACTAATCTGAGCATCATTTGTTTATTGCTGCTACAGACTTAGTTTCAGCTGCCTTTCACTGTGAGATAGCAACTAATAGTTGTGTTACCAGATATGCTACTGCACACCCTGGCATCCTAATACACTGGCGCTGTATGCAAACATGTCCTCTGCATACCAGATTTAATAGGTGCAGTATATTTACTTGCCTCAGCAAAATTGTAACAGGGAAGTCTTGAAGCAGTAGCAAAGCACTTTCAAGACGATTTTGCAGAGTACAAAGAAGGCTGGCTTTCCTTAGCAGCCTTCCTCAAACTTGTTGGAATCAAATCTTTTTATTCTTCATGTCTGAATTTAGGATATTCTCCCTTGAACCTCAAACATTTCTCCTTTTGTTAAGGCAGTACACAGGAAAATTATTCGACACCTTCTTTTACCCACCTGTTCCTCCTGCTCAAAGTGCCCAGCCCTCACACAGGATAACTGTTACTAACATGAGGTCAGAGGTCAGATACAAAGTGGTTTTCCTGTACCACAAACCCCAAGAATTCCTTATTTTGATCAAAGTCAGACACAAGCAAATCAAACAAGGGCAGGGCCTTTAAATACGGGCATCCCACAGTCCAGAGGTTAGTACATCAACATGTACCATTCCCTCTGCACCTCTCCACTTCACATAAACAGTTAAACGGGTAGGAAAGAATGACTAATCTTGCGCTGGGAGAGGAAGGAAACAAGCCAACAAGAAGACAGGCTACCGCTGATAAAAGTTTAGGATACAGAGCCAGCATATTTGGGTGCCGTGTAGAACTTTCTTTTCTTTCTCAAAAATAAAGGTCAGCGGCACCATGTGCTTGCATTGGCACCTATTTCAGTGGAGGAGGAGCTGTTGGATCACATGCACATTTATTTAAAATGGTAGCATCCATTTCACAGGCATTTGATAACAGTGAGTACTTCATAGATATGGGTGGTCACAAGGCAGTCTATTACCTGGGTATCAGGTGGCTGCAAGAGCAGAGACCTGTATGTACAAGCCCTGCTGAGAGGCCACTGTGATCACACAGCTTCCTGCTCAGACTGGCTAAGAGCTGCCGGAGCACATGCAGAGTCAGCAGCCTTTGTTATCAGCTTGCACCCAGGGACCTCTACTCCCAGTCCACACTTCACACTACAATGTGCCCAGACATCTCTAGGAAGTCTGCACTGGATGACATGAGCACCTTCAGTGTCACTGAACAGAGGATTGCAGCCACGCGAGAAACTGATGAAGATGAAAGGCCATGACGGTGCTGTGGCTGGAGTTTCATCCACAGTTGTTTGCAAAATGGAGCCTGCAGTCACAGGCAGTGTTTAATTGTATTTTCCCCATTTCTTCATAAGCTTGATATTCCATTGTTCAGCCCCTTCAATCTTAAGTCTAAAACCTGTTAGTTCTACCACTGTTTTTTCTTTCCACTGTCCATTCAATTGCCTGTCCCTATTCCCAGCCCCAGGTGCCCAGGAGTAGTGAGAACTCCAGGCTCCTCATCTGGCAATTCCTTGCTTCATGTATTGCTCTTTGGCACACATCCCCTCCTTTCCTCTGGCCATGAGGCTCTCATCACCTGGCTCTTGAGCTTCACTCCCCAGTCCTACAGCCAACAGCCTCTATCCCAGAAGAGCCTGCCTTGCTTAATTCTCCCAAAAGCTTCCATGTAGTGCCTTACATATGTCTGCATTTAAATCAGTCACCTCCTTGTCAGTAATACCCGATACGAAGTGAAGGATGGAGAACAGAAAACCAGAAATTTCTTGTAGTAAGTTTTGTATCTTTAATTGAGCAGCTATTTCAGAGATGGTCATTGTGAATTTGGCTTGAATGACAGCCATTACTCTCCAAGGATTGCCCAAATAACCAGGCTAAAGGGGTGCTCTCTCTGCAAAAGTAAATTCAGCCCGCAGCCAATAAACTATTCTGTTAAACTTCTGGTATTGACTAAAACTCAATACTAAACTGATCATTTCTTGATATTAAAATAGGATGTCAGGTAATTCCCAGCCTAGCCCAACTACGTAGCAAGATCAGTGTCAAACACCAGCTACTCTAAATGGGGAAAAATCCTTAAATACAGCTTGAGGAGTAAAACTGGCACATAGAACATGGTCAGTGCTCAGTAATGCCTATGTGCTGAAATTAAAATCTCATGTTTGCTACAAGCACTTGCAACTCAAGGGAAATGTTTCTACTTGAGAACTATTAACTGATTTTCATCTGAGGATACTTTACCACTAAAATAGGCCTCAGCACTTTAGGAGTTCCACCACATAAACTCAGTGGAAACTCCAGCTGAACCTCATTGACTTACACCAAGGTAAGTGTTACTCATGAGGCTTATAGTTCCACAACCTCTTTCACACTGAAAAACACTGGTCACTATTTAAATTTTTGAAGACTGCCCAGTACATTTTGACTGGAGAAGACCTGGGGTCACTGATAAAAGCTGCAAAGCCAGCAGAGCTGTGGACATGGACCTCAGGCACGCGGCAGCCACAAACAGGAAGGGATTAAGGACAGAACAGCTGTAGCTGGCAGCCAGATGTACCACAGCCTAGGTTACTCAACATCAGGAAGACCTATAACTCCCAGCTGTAAGGAATGAGCTTGCATTTGGCTTTTTCCCAAAGTAACACTTGCCAGAGAAACAAGTAATGCCATTTATATTTTAAATTTCTCATTTCATCTGTTATTGCTGTTCCAATCTCTATCCTTAAAATGGAATGAGACATCTTTGGGTTTTAAGTGTTTTGTGTTTAAGAGCATGTTTGTTCTTGCTTTATTTACCAAGAGCTCTAAACTATATTCCGTATTGTCCATGCAGGAGCAGAAGTATAGAGAAAGGTGGTGATTCCACACAGACTTCTTCAGAACACAGAGAGCACCAAGACCAAATACACACATTCCTCAGTGTACCTTCCAACAACAACAGAAAAGAGAAGGCTGAGTTTAACAGTGTCACAAAATCAGCCTTCATCCAGGTTTCTCAACCCACTGATAATGTCAGCAAGAATAGATTGCTTTGCTACACACAGGCACAAGAGCTAACCAGCTCTGACCTTCCCTTGACAAACAGGAAGTTACTGATTCTAAAAGACAAATGTTTAATTAAAAATACTAATTTCAATAAAAATCACAGAAAAAACTTGCAAAGATGAAATCTCTAGTGCGGGACTGAAATGAGACAAAAAAAAGACAAGAACTTCTGGGAACAGCCATTTACTTGAATGACAAAAAAGCCAAGGTCAAATCCCAGCCAGACTCATATCTAATCTAAGAGGTCTATTAACTATTGAAATAAGTGATTGTCAGGAAAACAAACATTATCTTCCTTGGAAAAAAAAAAAACACCTTTTTCAGACTGTCCCCTCTCAATAATGCAAATGTGACTTTATCTTACTACTGAGTGTCAAGACAAATATGCATTGTAAGGAACTAAACCTTTTCACATAATCTCACAAAACAGATCCATAAATATGCGCAACTGCCAGTTTATGTATTTGGAAGCCAAAACTGAACCACTGACCAAGCAGGGAGCCTTCCTCAGTGGCAGCATTCTCCACTTGGTATTGCAGGACTCAGCGTTTTTGCAGCCTTGAAACACCACATCCAAATGCTGCAGTGACTAATCTCAGAGGCCACCAAGTCAGCACTAGCAACTTATTGCTCTTGCCTTATGAGGTGGCCTTATAAATCCAACCCATGAGCCATAGCGCTAAGCTGGAGAGAGGCCATCAGTTAAAGCTGGCCCTACATTTAGTAAAGGTAACCCTTGCTTGAAGAGTGCAAACCCTGCTGTAAATCAGCTCTTTCCCTTTTCATATTTACCTACGGCTTAACAGCAAGGGGAGCCTAGCTAATCCCTGCTGAAGGAAAGAATGATTAGCTCTTGTAGCCTTCACACATACCTAATCTGCGAACAGATAATGAAATTCAGCCACCTAACAGCATCCCTGCATGCTGCATGGCATTAGGAATCCTCTGTCATGTTCCAGCACTACACAGCAAAACCACACAACATTCCCAA